CTGTGTGGTCTGGGTTGCTGCAGATGCGTGGTTGTGGTACGTAGTCTTTGTACTTGTTCTGCGTAGTCGGTGGTTGTCTTCCTTTTGGTTTTGGTGTAGTCGTTCGCTGCTGCTTGGGAGCGTGTGGTTATTGAGTCCAGTATGGTGTCCCTGCAGCTGCTTGGTAGCGGCTGTCCCCTGCTTGTTGCTAGTGTTGTGATTCTGCTGCGTGAGAGGACGGAGCGTGTTGGGCTAGATCGGCGTATCCGCTGTAACCCACTGGCTGCCAGGATGGTCCTTTGCCTTTGCCGTACGGTCGTTGCTGTTGGCACTTCCCTTTGCCTTTGCCTTTGGCTTGGGGGCTTGCGTGTGACCGTACATTGTGTCCGTCGTCTGTTTTGGTGGCTGGTGTGCGCTATGATGCTGGTTGAGTAGAGGCTGTGCAGATTATAGCTGTTAGTTGGTAGGTTGGTTGGTCCAGCAGTGAGCGTGCTCATGCTGCTCTCAACAGTGTGCGTGCTGCTGACCGTTTTTCTCTTTCCTTGCGGTGCCAAGCAGGGTTGAGAGAAATAGCCGAAGTCGTGTTCGAGGTGGGATCTTGGCCGAAATTGCCCTGCAAGTGGTGCTCGTACGGTGCGGATGTCGAAATCGTGAGGCCATAACGCGGGCAGGAGGAAGAACAAGAGATATCAACATGTAATCGCGGTCGAAAGGGATGTAAGAGTATGATTAGGTCGGGCATGTCCCCATAGAGGTTGATTTGGGACGAAAAGAAACATAAAAAAAACAAAAGTGTAATCCAAAATACTCGAGAAATCGTCCCGAGACTATTTATTGACTATTTCTGAACATTCCTCCTGTAGAGGGACAGGCCCGACTTAAGAGTATGCATGGCAAAATGACGTAAGAATTGGATGGGCAGGCAGTGACTTCGATCGCGGATGGCCCTCTGCGGGCGTGCACACCTGGCCGCGGCTTTCCGTACCGCGGCTCGCCTCCTTCTCCTCCTCCTCTTCCTCCTCCTCTTTCTTCTCCTCCTCCTCCTCCTCCTCCTCCTCCGCCTCCCCCATGGCACGACCAACCCTCCCCTCCAAGTGGCTAGCGCGGTGGTCAGAGCTGCTGGACGTCAACGGCGGCACTGTAATCGAACCAGTGGTGCCGCACACGCTGGGCTGACACCGTCGCCCGAGGGTCGAGCTTTTGCATGTTCACGATCACGCGCGCGCGCGCAAGCGCACAAGGTGAGGACAAGCACGCTGATGAATCGAGCTGGGATAGGAAGCCAGCGTTGACGCGGGCGCAGGCGACGGCGCCAGCACCAGAGTGGGCGGTGCCGTCGGGGCCGCATAGCGGGAGGCTACGGGACCATGAGACTCAATCGTGAGCTGTCCTCAAAACTCTGGTTCACAAAAAAACCTACCATTTCAAGAGTGCGGCCCGTTTCGCCTGAGACGGCCTTATAACTCTGAGCTCCGAGATGCCGTGCGCGAAGTGCACAGGCCAGCTTCGCCTGAGACTTCCTCGCAGCTCTGGGCTCCGAGAGGAGGAGGTGCGAGGGAAAAAGGAGGCGAGGCCACGCCCAAGCGACCCATTGGATGGCCCTTCTCTGACACCGAGATGCGCTCTGGGAGGAGGTCCGGGTGGCGCCCCTGGTCGAAGGGAGGAGGCGACCAGCTTTGAGGACACAGCACGCTTCCTGGGTAAGTCACGAAGATGTCTCGGGCGGGAGCGGGATGCCGAGGAAGCCTCCCGCGAGAGCGCTGCTCCAGGGTGCGAGGGCGTCCATGGCAAAAGCACCGCCCTGGGAGGCGGAAGGAGCAGGAGAGGGGGAGGAGGCCTCCTCCTCCTCCTCCTCCTCCTCCTCCTCCTCCTCCTCCTCCTCCTCCTCCTCCTCCTCCTCCTCCTCCTCCTCCTCCTGCTCCTCCTCCTCCCCTTCCTCCTCCTCCTCCTCCTCCTCCTCCTCCTCCTCCTCCTCCTCCTCCTCTTCCTCCTCCTCCTCACGCCTCGAGACTGTCCCAAGACACGCCCAAAAGGCCCTGAGAGGCGCCTGGGAGAGCCCCAGAAACACCCAATGCTCCCCCACGAGGCCCCAAGAGTCCCCCCGAGATACGCCAGGGGCCCCCGGGACCGCAAAGAGGCTGCACTGACGGCCCACGGGGCCCCCAAACTCGCCATTGCCCCCCTCCTCCTCCCCTCCTCCTCCTCCTCCTCCTCCTCCTCCTCCTCCTCCTCCTCCTCCTCCTGCCTCCTCCTCCTCCTCCCCCTCCTCCTCCTCTCCTCCTCCTCCTCCTCCTCCGCCTCCTCCTCCTCCTCCTCCTCCTCCTCCTCCGCCTCCTCCTCCTCCTCCTCCTCCTCCTCCTCCTCCTCCTCCTCCTCCTCCTCCTCCTCCTCCTCCTCCTCCTCCTCCTCCTCCTCCTCCTCCTCCTCCTCCTCCTCCTCCTCCTCTCGTTCCTCCTCCTCCTCCTTCTCCCCTTCCCCTCCTCCAGCGAGCACCCCTATCGACACCTCGGCCCAGGACCATATCCATCAACACCTAACCTCCACGCGCCTCTTCCTCCTCCCCTTCCTCCTCCCACCTCCCACCCCTTCTCATCCCCCCTCCTCCCCGCTGGAACAGGGGGGAAAGAAAGAAGAGGAGAAGCTCGTCGCACGCAGGCGTGACACGAGGCGTGCTCTAGTGATGCTAACCCGCTGGAGAGAACACAACAAAGAGCTCAAGCGGCCATGCAACAGGAGGAGCGCCCACGGCTCCACGGCCGTTGGGAGCTGTGGCCGCAGGCCGCTGCGGGCGCCGCCCGAATCAGCAATTCTTCTTGGCGCTGGCCGGGCGAGAATGCCGGGCGGCTCGCGCTCGGGGCGGGCCGTGCGCCGGGGCCCCGGTGCGACGGGCGGCTCGCGCTGGGTCCGCGCGGGGAGCGGGGGCACCCAGACGCGGTGGGCAGCAGCGCGCGCCAGTGCCCGGGCAACCCCTGGGCCTGGCTGCAGCGGCCCCGCGCGGTGCCGCCTGAGGTTGCGCGTGTGGCCAGAAAGCACCCGCCACGAAGCAAATACTAGAAGATTTCCAGGTGCGCGCGTCGCCCCTGAGGGAGCGACGCACATATAGTATATAAGTATGTTGGGGTGACGCCGACATGAGGTTGTACGTGTGGTAGAGGGTCGCGAAGCGCGCGGCCGTCCAGGGAAGGCCGTTCTCACTCTGCGGATCCTCGGCGCAGTGCTCCGGCAGGCCCGGCCACGGGCGCCGCAGGGGGCATGCGTGGGCGGTGGTGCACGAAGCGACGCATACGCACAACAAGGAGCCGTGACATTGCAAGTAGTGCGCGATCTGGTCCGTGCTGGCAGCTCCATCGGCGCGCAAGGTGGGAGTGTCCCACGTGCGTGCGATAAGACGTGGACCAGGCGCCGGCGAGAGTGCGCAGGGTCTCCCAGCACGTGCCCGGGGCAGCGACCGCGAGCTGAGCTCTGAGGCGGAGCTACCTCTGGCGGAGGTCGGCAGGGACCGCACGGTCCAGCCATCATGCGCGGAGGCGGAGGCGGAGGGTATTCTCGAAGGCTTCTAAGGGAAAAACGTCTGGGCGGCGGAGTCCGCATGCGCTCGCTGCAGGTGGGCTCTGCGGCGAAAGGCGGCGGCCGCGTCGAGCTCGCGTCGAGCCGCGGCGCTGGCCGCGCTCAGGGCAGCTCTTCGACGCCGCTGTCACCGCTCGCTCGGCGATGTGGCAGAATCCACTGACATGAGGTCCTGCAGCACGGGCTCGGTCTGCGCCCAAGGCGGCGCAGCCCAGCAGCCTGAGACGACGACGACGACGACGAAGGCCGAGAGAACGTCCCAAGCCTGGTCAAGCCAGACGTCCCCGAAAGCCCTCCATCCCGAGAGCGTTGCGCTGGGTGTGCGCCACGCGGAAGCCCAGGCAGCAGACAGCAGCGCGGCCAGCGCGGGTCTGGGCGTCCATGTGCGCAGGCTGAACAAGTCAGCCAGTGTGAAGTTTTTGGGCGGCGCTTCAGGATGCGGGGCGGCACGTCCAACTCGCCCCTGATGAGGTCTTCTGACCTGGCGAGGAGCTGGCCCAGGTAGGCCAGGACGGAAACCATGGAGCCGTTGTACAGCGTGACCAACTCGGCCGTCGGGACTGGCACGGTCTTGAGCACGGCCTCGCGCTGCTTGTACGTCGTGTCTGCCACATGCCAGGTGTCCATGAGGAGGGCCCACAATCCCAAGACGAATCCACATGAATTTACTTTGGAATCGATGGTGAAGTCAGCCCAAATCGGTGCGAACGCCCTGAGCGCCGCGCGGATGGACTCGATGGAGTCTGCAAGGTCCGCAGCGGCCAACCAGAGTGGCACCAGGAGGCACTTCCAGGGCTGCAGGCGCAAAGAGGCAAGGCGCGCCATGGCGTGAAAATGCGGCTCAATGAGGGCGACGAGGCAGATGTCCCACAGCACGACCCCCATTCCATCCGCAGCGCAGACGCCGAGCTTCGTGTTCCGACTGGGTCCGACAATCGGCGCCTCACGGGGTGGGCGACGGGCCAGCGAGCGGGAGGGCAGGGCCAGGGCACTGGCGAGGGCCTCCACGAATGGCGCCGTCGCGGGGGCCCACAAAATGCCCGAGAGGGGGCAGACTTGGGCCACGCCCGCGAGCACCACGCACACGTAGAACGACCGCGACCCGATGCGAGTCCAGCAGCTCTTTCTACTGTACAGCGCCCTCATGGGCTGGAGGCACGAGTCGAGGATATCGAACTGGGCGAGCGCCGCAAAAAGCCACACCCATGCGCCAATGCAAAGCTGGAAGGGAGGAAGAGGAGGAGGAGGAGGAGGAGGAGGAGGAGGAGGAGGAGGAGGAGAAGGAGGAGGAGGAGGAGGAGGAGGAGGAGGAGGAGCACGAGGAGGAGGAGGAGAGGAGGAGGCGGAGGAGGAGGAGGAGGCGCGAGGGAGGCGGGCAGCGAGGAGGAGCGAAGAAGGCAAAGGAGCGAGCCGGCGAGGGAGCGAGCAGGCGCTCGAGGGAGCGAAGCGGGCCGTCCTGTCGCGGTCGCGGCCGCCCCGGCTGCGGCTCCGCGCGCGGCGGTTGCTCCGCGAGGCGCTTCGCCGACCCCGGCGGGCCTCGGGCGGCCCGGCCGGCGGCGGCGGCGGCCGCCGACGACCGCGTCGACGGCGGCGGCGTCGGTCGACGGCTGCGGCGACGGCGGCGGCGACGTCGACGTCGACGACGGCTGCTGCGACGGCGGCGGCGACGAGGTCGACGCAGCCGACGGCGGCTGCGACGACGATGATTATGGCGACTGCGGCGACGACGGCGGCGGCGGCGGCGAGGGAGACGGCGAGGGAGAGGGGGGAGGGAGGAACAGGCACGGGAGGAGAAGAAGGCGGAGGGGGAGGAGCAGGAGGACGAGGGAGAGAGAGAGGGGGGAGGGAAGGGGGCAGCAGAGAAGACGGAGGATGGGGGCTCTCGCCTGAGCGCGGCGCACATTCGCATTAATTTGTTACCAGATATGTACGCAGGCTTGAAGCGCAGGTCGTGTACAAAATGTGAATCCGCCGACCCTGTCGGCGCGGCGTGTGTGAGGGGCTTCGCCGTTTGAGTCGTCTTCTGCGTCTGGTCTGATCCTTTGCCTCGGAAGCGCGCATGCGGAAGGTAGCACTGGGACCTTCGGTGGGGCTCCCGATGGGGCCACGAAACGCTGTACTGGGTGTGGGGGACGCATGCGGCCGGTAGCACTGGGACCTTCGTTGGGGCTCCCTATTGGGCCACGAAACGCTGTACTGGGAAGGGGGGACGCATGCGGACGGTAGCACTGGGACCTTCGGTGGGGCTCCCTATGGGGCCACGAAACGCTCTACTGGGTGGGGGGGACGCATGCGGACGGTAGCACTGGGACCTTCGGTGGGGTTCCCTATGGGTGGGGGGGACGCATGCGGACGGTAGCACCGGGACCTTCGGTGGGGCTCCCTATGGAGCCATGAAACGCTCTACTGGGTGGGGGGGACGCATGCGGACGGTAGCACTGAGACCTTCGGCGGGGCTCCCCAAGGGGCCACGAAACGCTGTACTGGGTGGGGGGGACGCATGCGGACGGTAGCACTGGGACCTCCGGTGGGGCTCTCTATGGGGCCACGAAACGCTGTACTGGGTTGGGGGGACGCATGCGGACGGTAGCACTGGGACCTCCGGTGGGGCTCCCTATGGGGCCACGAAACGTGTGAGGGGTATGCTGAAACGGGTGGTGATGATGATGATGGTGATGGAGGAGGGAAAAGGGGGAGGAGGAGAGGAGAGGAGGAGAACGCGGGGCGACGTCTCTTCAAAACGAGGACCCAACACCACAGGATGGTTGGGAAAAGTTGCAAGAGCTTCACGGATTGAGGGCAGCTCCTCTTCAAAATGTGGATATCGCCGTAGCGCCGCGCATAACAGTTTTTTTTATTTGCCAGAGTTCTGCGGGCTCCCATGACCAGCGTACCACAAAATGCGTTGTGGAAGGACTCAGGATTATGAGGGTGCAACAATCAAGTTGATTCGCGGTGTCAAGTCCCAAGAATGGCGCTCTGACACGGTTTAAGATCATCAAGACGCAACAATCAGGTTGATCCGTGGCGCTGGAATCCCGAGACCACCATTTTGGCATGCTTCAGGGTCTTCAAAAGGTTGTCTTCCAACGAGGCAGTTCCCTCAGTGGAAATGAACCGTTGTAGGGCCCTATGAAGAGGGAGCTTGGAGGGAGGGTGTATTCCAACATCGCTGATGCCTCTTGGGTTTAGACTGGTCCTCCTCCTCCTCCTCTTCCTCCTCCTCCTCCTCCTCCTCCGCCTCCGCCTCCGCCTCCTCCTCCTCCTCCTCCTCCTCCTCCTCCTCCTCCTCCTCCTCCCCCTCCTCCCCCTCCATCCCTCTTCCTTATAACCAAATCATCCCTGTCGCACCCCGAAACAGGTCCGTAGGGCGGGCCGGGCGCTTCGCCTGATATTCCCTTACCATTTGCGATCCTGAAGCTGGAAATTGGCAACAGCTTCACGTATAGAGGGCGGGTCATTTTCGATCTGTGGCTCTCGCATTGGCGCAGCGCACATTCGTCTTTAAATTTTGCAAGAGCTTCACAGATGAGGGCGGCTCGATTTCAAAATGTGGCACTCGCCGTATCGCCGCCCACCTTCGTGTGAAAACTTTGGAGAGCGAGTCGTCTTCAAAATGCGGTTCTCGCCTCAGCGCCGAGCAAATTCGTCTCGAAAGTTTACACGTTCCTTTTCAGAATCCAATTCTCGCCTTATCGCCGCGTCTGAGATTATGATGGATGATGTCTCAGAAAAATGGTTTTGGCACGATTTAGGGTTGTCAGGTCACAACAGTTGCGTTGATTCGCAGTGTTGACGTCTCAGCAATTATGTTCTGGCACAATTTAAGATCGTCAGGACGCGATGGTAACGTTGACCTGCAGCGTTACAGTCCCAGGAACGGTGCTTTGGCACGGTTGAAATTTTCAGACGGTTGTCTTCCAACGGGGCTCTTCCCGCAGTGAAAATAAATCCTTATAAAAGCCGATGAAAAGGGAACTTGAAGGAAGGGTTGATCGCAAGATCATTGCTGAATATTGGATTCACACTGGCCCTCCTCCTCCTCCTCCTCCTCCTCCTCCTCCTCCTCCTCCTCCTCCTCCTCCTCCTCCTCCTCCTCCTCCTCCTCCTCCCCTACCCTCCAACGACGGAACCGCCAACGACGCCGACGACGAAGCCAGCGCCGCTGCCCGGGCCACCGAAGGCCGCCCGAAGCAGCTGCTGGCCGACCGACAGGCCGCCCAGGGCCGCCGCGGGGTGGCCGCGGCCGCCCGAGCGGCGGGGGCCGAGCGGCGGGCCTTGGGCGTCGGTTCCCGCCGCTTGCCGCGCCTGTCGGGGAGCGGAGAGGCCGCGGGGGCAGAAGGCGTAGCACGGGGGGGGGTCCGAAGGAGGAAAAGGAGGAATAGGAGGAAGGAGGCGGAGGAGGAGGTGGTGGAGGAGGAGGCGAGGCCCTCCTCCTCCTCCTCCTCCTCCTCCTCCGACTCCTCCGACTCCTCCGACTCCTCCGACTCCTCCGACTCCTCCTTTTATTATATGATTCCGCTTGCTCCTCCTGTTCGTCCTCCTGCTCCTCCTCTTTGTCCTCCTGCTCGTCCTGCTCCTCCTCCTCCTCCTCCTCCTCCTCCTCCTCCTCCTCCTCCTCCTCCTCCTCCTCCTCATTCAGGACCTTCAAGATGCGGCCTGAGTCCTCAATTGGTTCAAAGGCGCCGTTGGTCCTCAAAGTGATCTTTGGGAAGAAGCGGGATTGAAGTCGGGATTGGACCGATGACAGATCACATAGTAAAGACTCCTACTGGGAGTGGCCTCATAAAGCATCTCGGTGGGAGGGGAATGAATACCAATCTTAAGAACTCTGGGACTGCTCGAAATAATCCATACACATACTCGACATGTTAGGGGCACCCGATCTGCGCATGGATGGCATGGCGCCGTCAATTCAAACACTGGGACGAGCAATCACCGTGGGGACGAGCGGTTTCTTTGGGCCAGCTGGCGCGAGTAGCACCTTCGGGCTCGTATTGTTATTCTCTGAGTCGGTTCCATTATCAGTGAGATGGTGCCCTCAGGTCGTTATCCATATCTAGAAATACGGCGTCAGTCATCATGCGAACCCCAAATTGACGTACGAGATGGAAGCTTTCAGAGGGCAGCAGTGGGCAAACACCCTCGGATGTCCCTTGATGTTGTTCGACAATGAAGTGCAGGTCGCCCAAGCAGTACTGACAGGAGCCATGGGCTATGGTTTGTCTCGTGTTGCCTCCCAAGTGGGCTTGGGGAAAAATGTCGGGCCCCGCCCGATAAGTGACCCATGAGACTGCACGGGCGTGCGGGCTCGTGCCAAGGCAAGGGTGGGCTGCCCTCTCTCCCTCCATTCCCACTCTCTCCTCCCCAACCCTGAGACAGCGCCAACTCCAGACCCGGCTTGTGGCTTTTCCTTCATGGCTCCCTCCCTGTTGACGCTCGCGCAGTTCGAAACCCGCTGCTTTCAGCACTTGGGGACGCGCGCAGCGCCCAGCCCGCGCTCACGGCGGCGAGCGCGGCGGACCGCCGCGGCAACCCCTGGATGCAGCAGCGCTGACCCCAGCCGAGGCCCAGGAAAGGGGACCCTCTCTCTCTCTCTCTCTCTCTTTCTGAAGGGGCTCTGGGACACACAAACAGATACACACAAATCACATTTCTGGGGTGTTTGTCTTCCACCCCACTTCCGATAGTTTCCAATCTTGTCCTGGGAGTCGACGATGAATTGTGTCTGTGTGCTTGTTTCCCTCCTGACTCTAGTCGCAGCTCGTGGGCACCCAGGCCCAGGGCGCAGCCACCACACGAAGCCCCACGCGTTCCGGTGATGGAAAAAGGGCGAGACCAGACCCGTGGCCCTCCCCACAGGCCTGCTTCCTGCCACCCCTCACAGATTCCCCAGCGCGCCCCGCGGTGGTTCCCGAAGGCCCTCGCCGTGCGATCCATGCACCGCCGCAGCAGAGGCAATCAGATACGGGCCGCCCAAAAGACAGTTTTAACGAATCGACAAAATACCAACTGGCCATCGCTCGGACGTCCATTCCCTGTGCTTTGTTCGGTTTCGTGCGTGGTTTTTTCGCCAAATGATCAAGGATGCTCCTCGATGGTCCTCGCCGAGAAAAAATGCACACGTCCGAGCGATGCCAGGCCAACCTCAGCCGAAAGGAAGCGTGCGTCGCCGCACTCCAGAGCAGTGGTGCGTCGACCGAGCAATCGCTGCTTACATCAAACGTGCTCACAAGCACCAAGACGGCCCTGGCAAAACCAAACGACAGCACCGCACCGACCAGCGCGGGCTAAGGGGCGAGCTGATGAAACTGTGCGAGAAGAAGATCGGCTACATCATGCTGTACACGTCGTTCATTTCCAATCGTGCTCGTTTCTAAGTGTGCCCGTATCTCATTGTTCCTAGCCCCCTTAGTGGCCAGGGACAGGCCCAGGCTAGAACAATTCGAAATGAAAGGATCTCGGCCCCAAAAAAATCAAAGAACCTTCGATGTGGATGCCACGACAATGGACACCTTAACAGTCCTATCATTGATATTAACATGTGTTTGACATGTCGGAAAACATGTTCTAAACATGTGTCAAGCATGCTTGTTCACATGTTCAGAGAAAAAACTGTTTAACACATGTTTTCGACGTCTGGGAATTGTTTTGCAACATGCTTCCTCTCCATTGATCGTCCTCCACAAACTTGAAAATAAACCATGTGTACCACTCGAAGAAGCTCAAGACGGGCACCAGCCGTGACTCGGCAGGGCCCACGGCCTCGGTCGACGCCCGCCGGTGCAACGACACCGCCCTTCCTCCTCCCCCATCCCTCCTCCTCCTCCTCCCTCCTCCTCCCTCCTCCTCCTCCTCCTCCTCCTCCTCCTCCTCCTCCTCCTCCTCCTCCTCCTCCTCCTCTTCCTCCTCCTCCTCTTCATTCCATCCCCCTCCTCCCCCTCCTCCTCCTCCTCCGCTTCATCCCATCCCCCTCCTCCTCCTCATCATCCTCCTCCTCCTCCCGACCACGGGACCCCACGCACCAGTAGCATCCACTGACACCTCACCAGGGCCAAAACACCGACCGAGGACCCCCTGGGACTCCGCGGCGATCTTCCCAGCTGTTGCCTCGGAAGGGGTAGCCGCCACCAGAGGACCCTGGACTCACCCGCTGCAGCCACCGTCAACCCCCACGGGCACAACCACCAGGGTTGAGCCCAGGGCGAGCCTCAGCGACAACCACGGCGCAGCAAACGCCATTGGCAGCACCACCACGGCCGACGTCAAGAGCTACCGTGACAAAGTTCACTCAAGCTGATGAGACGGCTCATGTGATGAGGTGGGCCCGCCTTCACCCGCACCCCGTCGAATGTGACCCTTACGACGAGGCGGATGCGCGCCCCTATGAATGGGACCTCTGCGAAGAATGGGACCCCCGTGACGAGTGGGACCTCAGAGAAGAGAGGGAGGCCTGGTGACTCGGTAGGTCCACCAGAGCCGAAGCGCAGTCTGACTCCACAGCCCCCGTCATGTTACCCACGCCACAGTTCGTCCGGGAAGGCACGGAGGCAACTGTCACCAACAAAGCAAAGAACCCAATTAACGGCCAACATGGCATAGTCATTGGACGCACAGGGGATCAGAATCAGCACTGGGTGGTCCTGTTGACCAACGGCAGCACCGCCGCCCTGCTCACGTCAAGTCTGATCCCTCGCCCCCATCTGCCGGCGAGGGTTAGGTGACACTGCCTCAACGTCAGGGCCCACGCCAGCAGAGACGTGAGACTCGTCGACGGCGGGAACTACGGCTGAGACGCCAGGCCCGCCTACGCGCACCCGGATACCTGCGCCAGGCCGAGCGCGAATCTCCGATGCCAGCCGTCGCACCAGCGACTGCGGCACCGACAGGGCCCACGGACTCCTTGGGGCTCAGCCCGCAGCAGCGGAAGCGCCTGAACAAGCTCCGCAAACACCGGCGCGGACGGCGAGCCCCCGTCGGGTCGCCCCACCCCGTTATCTCGGAGAGCGACGCCGAAGACGCCCCGCGCAAGCTCATCGGCACGACCCCCACGAGCCCTCGACCGTGAGAGCGGCTGGGAAAGGTGCCGACGACGCTCCGCGCAGCGAGGGCGATCTTCGCGGGACTCGCCTCTCCCTCGACCCCAACTCTCACTCTCTACGCAGCTGCGACAGGGGTGCCGTGATGACTCACAACACCGGGAGTGATGTGCAGCGCAATTTTGCTTTTCCTGCCGTTTGGCTGGCGATCGACGGTCTCAGCTTGCCTCGTCTCGTATGTTTCACTAGAATCACTGGACCACGCTCCGCGGAGCACCACTCCAGTGCAGAAATCCAAGGCCCAATTGCGGCGAGCAGACGCCTCATCCCCCTGGCCCTCATGGTCGTGGCCAGCCCACCAGGGCTGGCGCCCGCGACTGTGACGAGCACTGCAACGAGCACCAAGCCTGAGTGCACCATTCACACTACCAGGTACCTGAACCTGCCCAGCATGACGGAGTCGAGCACCACGGGCACCACCTCCTCGACGTTGAGCAACACGTCGGAAAGACACAGCGCGACAATGACGTCGGCGAGTGGGATCACTACCGCCACGAGCACAGCGTCGCCAAGCAGCAAGACCGGGACCAGCAGCGACTCGTCGAGCAGCGCGCAGGAGAGCAGCAGCTCGACCCTGACTCCCACGCGCGGGACGCTCACTGTCTCGAGCACCACGTCGCTGCCTACCACGACGGGCACCAGCAGTGCATCTTCAGCAGTACGTCGGGGAGCAGCAGCTCGACTCTGATGCCCGCGAGTGGGGCAGGAAGTGCCCCGACGCCAACGCGTGGGACGAGCACGGTCTCAAGTGCCGCGTCGCTGGGCACCGCGACTGGCACCAGCGGCGCAACGTTGAGCGGCGCGCCGAGGAACAGCTCGACCCTGACGGTGAGCAGTGGGATGAGCACCGCCTCGAGTATCCCGCCGCCGAGCAGCACGACCGGAACCAGCAGCGCATAGTCGAGCAGCACGTCGGAAAGCACCAGCTCCACCCCGACGTCCACGAGCGGGGAGAGTCCTGCCTCGAGCACCCCGTCGCCGAGCAGCACAACGGGCAATAGCACCTAAACATCGAGCAGCATGACGGAGAGCAGCAGCTCGACACTTACGTCCAAAGAGTGGGACGAGCACTGCCGTGAGTACAAGTCACTGACCATCATGACGGGCACTGGCAGAGCATCGCGGAGCAGCACGTCCAAGAGCAGCAACTCGGCCCTGACGACCACGAACGGCACGAGCACTGCCCCGAGCACGTCGTCGCCGAGCAAAGCGACGGGTACTAGCATCTCAACGTTGAACAGCACCTCGGCGAGCACCAGCTCCGCCCTGACGTCCACGTGCGGGACGAGAACTGTCTCGAGTGGAACGTCGCTGACCACCGCGACGGGCACGGGCAGCGAACCTGCGAGTAACACGTCGGAGAGAAGTGTGTTGACCATGACACCTCCCAGGCCCCAGGGGGACGAGCACTGCCGCGAGTACTACGTCGCTGACCACCACGACGGGCACTGGCATGGCAACGTCGAGCAGCACGCTGGAGAACGGCACCTCGACCCTGCCATTTCACGAGTGGGACCAGTACTGCCGCGGGTGCCACGTCGCTGAGCAACACAACTTGCACTAACATCTCAACGTTGGGCAAAAGCACGTCGGAGAAATGCAGTTCTATCCTGACGTCCACGAGCGGGACGAACCATGCTTCGAGCACCACATCGCGGACCACTACGACGGACACCAGCTGCACATCACGGACCGGAACAGCAGCTCGACCCCGACGTCCACGTGCGGGACGACTACTGCATCCAGCACCACGTCGCGGTACAGCACGGCGGGAACTAGCACCACGTCTTAGAGCACAAGCTGGATCCTGATGTCCACGAGTGGGACGTATACTGTCTTGAGTACTACGTTGCTGACCACCACGACGGGCACCAGCAGCGCACCGTTGAGCAGGACGTTGGCGAGCACCAGCTAAATTTCCTGACGCGCACCAGCCCGACGAGAAATACCTCGAGCACCACGTCGCTGAGCTGCACGACGGGCACTGGCGTCTCGACGTCTAGCAGCACGTCGGAGAGCACCAGCTCAACCCCGGAGCCCGCGAGTGGGACGAGCACTGTCTCGAGAACCATGTCGCTGACCACCACGGCGGGCACCAGCTGCGCGTCGCTGAGCAGCACGACTGGGAAGAGCAGCTCGCCCCCGACGACCACGAGTGGGACGAGTACCTACTATGAAGCAGGAAATTGCTGGGATGATGAATGCGACTTCGATTGTACACTTCGCGCATATCCGGCAAAGGACCAGCGAAAAGGGTGGCATCCGCACGCTCGCCACTATTTCCACGATCCGCATTGGCCCACTGGGGGTGGGATGCGTGCATCGGCTTATTTCCACGAGCAGAATTGGCCCACTAGCGGTGGGTTGCGAACTTCGCCCTATTTCCACGAGCCGCGCTGGCCCGCTGAGGGTGGGATGCGAGCTTTGACCAACACGTCGGAGAGCATCAGCTCCACCCTGACGGGCACCAGTGAGACGAACATTGCCTCGATTACCATGTTGCTGAACTGCACGACAGGAATTTGCATCTCGACGTTGAGCAGTACGTTGGAGAGCAGCACCTCTGACGTCGCGCCCACGGGGGCGTCGAGCACCGTCTCGACTACCAGGGCGCTGATCAGCACGCCAGCTACGAGCAGCACATCGCTGAGCAGCACGACCGATGCTAGCGGCCGTACCCCGCATGACCCTTGTGCTACTCCCCATCACCTTGCCCGACGGGCGGCAAGGGAGACGACGTGCCCGCGCACCGGCTAGGCACTCATGCCGAAGGGTGGTATGGGCCTCCGCTGCCGCCCGCGCTCGCCTCCCCCCTGCCACGGCCTGCACCGGTATCACCCGCCATCTTTCTGCGCGCCCGCGGAGGCGACATGGGCTCCGACAACGCAAGCGCAAAAAGGGTCTTTCTCACAGACCCGCCGCAGCGCGGCGTCGACGGCGCACGGCCCAATGGCCGCTTAGCGCCCAACCGTTGTTCTGAAACCACCGAGCGACTGTGCCCAAATGGCAACAGACGTCGAGAGGTAAATGAGGATACATTTACGTGTTGGTGCACGGAGGCCTATTGACGAAATACAGGGGACGAGGACGAAGAGGGCGAGGGGGAGGAGAAAAAGGAGGAGGAGAAGGAGGACCGCTGTCTACAGAACACACCTAGTCCCCCGAGGATGCGCCGCAGCAGACACCCGTTTTGTCCGCCCCGCGGCCTGCTGGGGCTTCTGCGGCGGCTTCGGCTGCGGTCCCGCCCTCTGGCCTGCCCGGCCAGCGCTCGTCGTCGAGGTCGTCGCTCATCGTCGTCCTCGGCGCTCCCCGTCGCCCGTCGTCGCTCGTCGTCGTCGTCGTCGTCGTCGTCGTCGTCGTCGTCGTCGCGGTCGTCGTCGTCGTCGTCGTCGTCGTCGTCGTCGTCGTCGTCGTCGTCGTCGTCGTCGTCGTCGTCGTCGTCGTCGTCGTCGCCCCCTCATCCTTCTCCTCCCCCTCCTCCTCGTGATCGTCTTCTCCATTTCCTGCTCCTCCTCCTCCTCATCCTTCTCCTCCTCCTCCTCCTCCTCCTTCTCACGTCCTCCTCCTCCTACTCCTCCTCATTCTCCTCCTCCTCCTCGTCCGCCTCCTCCTCCCCCGCCTCGAAGGGGTGCACAGATTGGGCCTCCTCGGGGTGGGGCGGGGGGGGCCCTCGCGAGGGCCTGACCCGCCTCGGAACCCTGGCCCAGCAACTCCCGAGCGCCACGAAAGCTGCACGCATGTCCGTTCCGCGAGATGAATCTCTTGGCTCCCCCGCTGTACTGATCAAAAGGTCGCTGGGCAAACCGGGAACCTCACATGAGCCTACATGCGGTAGGCAAATTCATGCAGTGAGCCATGGCCTGATAGAGGAAGCGAACGCGCCGCTTGCGAATCATTCCCGAGGCCCAAACGGCCAACGATACTACAGACACACAACATGACGAAGAAGACGAAGGGGGAGGGGGTGGAGGAAGGCGAAAAGGCAAGGAAGGGGAGCAGGAGAAGGATGGGCTGACATCCCCCGAAATTCTTGCGACGGGTGACGCGCGCACTCAACCGCATAGTCGCAAATGCCGCCACACGCGCGCAGCCCAGCAGACTAGACAGACATGTAGATCTATACAACATAGATATCAATGTGTACGTATATGCATATATATGTACATACATCTATATATATGTATATATAGATATATGTACAGAGAGAGAGAGAGAGAGACACACGGACAGACAGACAGACAGAGACACAGAGCATAGAGCGAGGGAGGGCAACTAAGAGGGGAACCAAAAAACTCAACGGGGACCAGCCTCCACGCGAGGATCGGCCGGCACACCCTAAAATGATACGCTGCCCGCCGCAGGCGCCGGCCAGGGCGGACCAATCCTGAGCCCCCTGCAAGAAGCAGAGGCAAATAACACATACGACGGAGGACAAGGAGGAGGACGAGACGAGAAGGAATAGGAAGACTCTTCCTCTTCCTTGTCCCCGCCTCTTCCTCTTCGTCTCGTCCTCCTCCTTGTCCTCCTCCTCGTCTCGTCCTCCTCCTTGTCCTCCTCCTTTCGTCTCATCCGTCCCGAGGAAGAGGAGGGAGGGACAGAAAAAGCTAGACGATCGTATCGGCTCCAAGCCTGCACGCCCGAAGCCCGAATGCACGACCAGTAGCGGCGTGCAGTAACAAACACAAGCTGGGATTCCCGAAAGGATGACCAGAGACGCGCCAAAAGGAACACGAAGGGGGCGGTGCGAAAGAACAACAGCAAAAGAAAAGATGTTCGAGCGGGGGGGTCCCTTGAAGGCAACTTGGATGAGGAGCGGGGCCCGCGGGTGACCTCCGACCGCCGCGCGGACGCAGCCGCGGAAGGCGGCGGAACACTCGCCGCCCGAGAGCCCGCGGCGCCCGGCGTCGTGCACCTTACGCTCCAATCGCGCGCAGAGCGGCCACGTCGGCGGTGGCCGTGGCCGTCCTGACCTGCACCTGGAGGACGTGCGCATGGGTGGGGGCGCCGAGGAAGCCACCCAGATTTGGACACCCGAGATGGGCACGGAAAGAATGGGCACTATGCCCAACAACAAATGTTGTCCCAAGCCAACAGCGGCCGCTGTTGGGCGGGCGGCCTCCTGTCTCGAATGGACACAGGCCGCGGCGGCGTGGACAGCGGATCCTATTCAAAATGAACCAGATCCGCTGTTGGGCATAGTACCCATTCTTTCAGTACCCTTTTCGGGCGTCCAGACCAGACACAGTCCGCCGAGGATCCTGCGAGGCCCGGGTGCCTCGGACACGAAGGCGTGCAGCTCGCCGCAGAGAGCGCAGTGTTCAGTGGTGCCGTGTCCACGGCTGCAGTCGAGCAGACACCCGCGGCTCTGCGGGAGGCGGCGCGCCTCGAGCGCCAGGCACTCCATGCGGCGCGGCTCTGACACGCCTGGACCGGGGAGGGAGGAGGGGGGCAGAAGCGGCAGAATAGGGAGCCCACGAAGGACGTACGCCGCCCAGCTATGTACATGAACACGGCCCCTCGATCTGCGAGACTGGCCGCGGTGTACGAACATTTGCTCAACGCGTGCTCTCGAAACCAGCGTGGATTCATGTACGTGTACGTCTTTTTTTCGCTCCTGAGAGAATGCGACTAGGCCACAAGGCGGTGACCTGGGAGGGCCGGGAGAGATGCCATCTGTCCAGGCGCCTCCTCTTTTGCGCGGCCGCGGAATGACGGGCCGCAGAGGAACAAAAAAAGAAAACCTAAAAACAACAAAATTATGCTAACGGAGTTCCCCACATAAAGAGATGAACGGTTTCGTGGGACCCATTTTCTTGATGCCCTCCTCGCTCAGGCGGGGCCTCCCTGGAGGTGTGGGAGGGGCACGAAACCATGTAAATAGTATGGTTTGCCGATACCCTCCTCGCTCAGGCGGGGCCTCCCTGGAGGGGTGGGAGGGGCACGAAACCATGTAAATAGTATGGTTTGCCGATACCCTCCTCGCTCAGGCGGGGCCTCCCTGGAGGGGTGGGAGGGGCACGAAACCATGTAAATAGTATGGTTTCCGATACCCTCCTCGCTCAGGCGGGGCCTCCCTGGAGGGGTGGGAGGGGCACGAAACCATGTAAATAGTATGGTATTCCGATACCCTCCTCGCTCAGGCGGGGCCTCCCTGGAGGGGTGGGAGGGGCACGAAACCATGTAAATAGTATGGTATTCCGATACCCTCCTCGCTCAGGCGGGGCCTCCCTGGAGGGGTGGGAGGGGCACGAAACCATGTAAATAGTATGGTTTCCGATACCCTCCTCGCTCAGGCGGGGCCTCCCTGGAGGGGTGGGAGGGGCACGAAACCATGTAAATAGTATGGTTTCCGATACCCTCCTCGCTCAGGCGGGGCCTCCCTGGAGGGTGGGAGGGGCACGAAACCATGTAAATAGTATGGTTTCCGATACCCTCCTCGCTCAGGCGGGGCCTCCCTGGAGGGGTGGGAGGGGCACGAAACCATGTAAATAGTATGGTTTCCGATACCCTCCTCGCTCAGGCGGGGCCTCCCTGGAGGGGTGGGAGGGGCACGAAACCATGTAAATAGTATGGTTTCCGATACCCTCCTCGCTCAGGCGGGGCCTCCCTGGAGGGGTGGGAGGGGCACGAAACCATGTAAATAGTATGGTATTCCGATACCCTCCTCGCTCAGGCGGGGCCTCCCTGGAGGGGTGGGAGGGGCACGAAACCATGTAAATAGTATGGTATTCCGATACCCTCCTCGCTCAGGCGGGGCCTCCCTGGAGGGGTGGGAGGGGCACGAAACCATGTAAATAGTATGGTATTCCGATACCCTCCTCGCTCAGGCGGGGCCTCCCTGGAGGGGTGGGAGGGGCACGAAACCATGTAAATAGTATGGTTTGCCGATACCCTCCTCGCTCAGGCGGGGCCTCCCTGGAGGGGTGGGAGGGGCACGAAACCATGTAAGTAGTATGGTTGTCGGTATGGAGTGGTATGGAATGGTATGGTAGGTATGGTATGGTACGGTATGGTATGATATGGTATGGTATGGTACTGGAGGTATGGTATGGTATGGTACGGTGTGGCATTGGTGTGATATGGTATGGTATGCTATGGTACGCCATGGTATGGTATGGTACGGTATGGTACGTATGGTGTGCTATGGTATGGTATGGTATGGTATGGTATGGTATGGTATGTGTGGTAGGAACTATGGTATGGTATGGTGTGTGGTAGGAATAATATTGTGCTGTATGGAAGATGGAGCGGGAGGTGGGTGGGAAGGAGAGGGTGTTCTGGGAAAACAAGAACCTCAGTCAGGATGTGGGGAACAACAACCAAACAACAACAACCACAACAGCAGCAGCAACAGCAACAACAGCAACAACAGCAACCACAGCAACAACAATAGCAACAACAACAACAACAATCACTTTACCCGAACGCTCAGTGTTCTCACCAGTGCCAGGGTTTTCATGCGACGCCAGCCAATACCCCCACTTTGTGGGGGGGCGTGCAAGCTCTACCAAATATCCACACGACTCTTCGCCACCACCCACACCCAGCTTCCCGCCCTATGACGTTCGGACACTTCACTTCGTGGCCTGCGGACGACCGTGGCTACTACACTGGCGTGGAGTACACACCCACAGAAGTTGTTAAGCCTACGTTCGTACACCCACAGAAGTTGTTAAGCCTTGTTAACCCACAGAAGTTGTTAAGCCTTCCACAGAACATCTGTTGCATATGATGCATATGGTACATGATACACATGATACACATGATACGTACTCACAAGATAGTTGATCACATCTTTAGGGCAAATTCCTGAGGGATGTGGGAATACACAAGAGAGAGAGGATATGGTTGTCCCGATGGTTGTCTCGATGGTTGTCCCGATGGTTGTCCTGATGGTTGTGGTTGTCCCGATCGTTGTCCCGATGATTGTCCCGATGGTTGTCCTGATGGTTGTGCTTGTCCCGATCGTTGTCCCGATGACTGTCCCGATGATTGTCCCGATGGTTGTCCCGATGGTTGTTCCGATGGTTGTCCCGATGGTTGTCCCGATGGTTGTGAGCGATGCCGGATCCTCACGCCCCCCGCCGGAGGAGGAGGAGGAGGAGGAGCAGGACAAGGAGGAAAGGAGAGAAGAGAGAACGGAAGGAGGGGCGGGAACGGCGCTTGCACGCCCACCCACCGTCTTTTCCCCGTTTGACAGAAATGTTTAAAAAGTGTTGGGTTTCCTACGAATCCGCAAGAGCGCGCGGGATGAGATTTTGACATTTTTTTGTTGAAAAACCATTGGTTTTTTGATGTTTTTATGTTAAAATCGCTGCGAACACTAAGGTTTTGGAAGGATTTCGTCTTGCGCGCGCGAATGTCCACTTTACCTTATTTTTTGCAAGGGATTCTTGAAATTTGATTATATTAGAACAAGAAATGTCATTTTCTATTGTTTTTTTTGCAAGGGAAAGCGGATTACAACAAAACAACCGGATCCTGTACACACCCTCTTTTCTGAGGCTTCCTCACGAAAATGATGAAAATGTAGCTGCGGCCTAGGCGGCGCAGGGGGGGCGCGCACCAGGGGGCCCAACAATAATTATTCTTTAGAATAAATAATGTTCAACAACAACAACAACAACAACAACAACAACAACAACAACAACAACAACAACAACAACAACAACAATCATTTTACCCGAACGCGTGGTGTTCTCCCCAGTGCCAGGGTTTTCATACGACACCAGGCAATACCCCCACTTCGTGGGGGGGCATTACAAGCTCTACCAAATATCCAAACGACTCTTCGCGACCACCCAAACCCAGCTTCCCGCCCTATGACGTTGGGACACTTCACTTCGTGGCGTGCGGACGACCGTGGCTACTACACTGGCGTGGGGTACACACCCACAGAACTTGGTCACTTATTCGGGGCGCGCATGTGCCCAGCATGGTGCAATTGTGCCATACAATACATAATACAGAGAGACGAATGTGTCCCGCATGGTATTATTTGACAGGGATGATGGCCCTGGCAGGTGCGCAACCGTTGTCGCAGAAGTTCGAAAAAGTTGCTCGCAAAAGCCCGTTTGACAGAAATGTTTAAAAAGTGTTGGGTTTCCTACGAATCCGCAAGAGCGCGCGGGATGAGATTTTGACATTTTTTTGTTGAAAAACCATTGGTTTTTTGATGTTTTTATGTTAAAATCGCTCCGAACACTAAGCTTTTGGAAGGATTTCGTCTTGCGCGCGCGAATGTCCACTTTACCTTATTTTTTGCAAGGGATTCTTGAAATTTGATTATATTTGAACAAGAAATTTCATTTTATAGTGTTTTTTGCAAGGGAAAGCGGGGGGGAACAAAACAACCTGATCTTGATGACATCGTATTACCTGAGGCTTCCTCACGAAAATGATGAAAACGTGGCTGCGGCCTAGGCGCGGCGGGGGGGGCGCGCACCAGGGGGCCCAACAATAATTATTCTTTAGAATTAATAATGTTCAACACGCGTGGCCTTGGCCTGCAAAGCCCCCTTTCTGGAGGCTGGCAGGGCGCGAAGAGTCTGAGAGGGAAGGGATTCGAGGGGGGAGCTTCTTCAGCCGAAATCAGAACGTCGGCTGCTGCCTGCAAGTAGAGGAGGGAGCAATCCTGGACAAGGGTGGCGAAGTGCGTTGCCCATGCTCGGCTTGCCGACCACCGCGTGAGCCGAAGGAGGTCGCGGGCGCGCCGTCGGACCCAGAGGCCCCCGCGCGCCGCGGTTTCGAAACGCGCCACACGCTCTCGGGCAGCCATCGCCATGCGCGGGATGTCTGGCATGCCCCCCAGGAAACAATGGGCAGACCGCATGTCCTTCGATCCCTCGCACTGCGATTCAACGCGTGGGGCCCTGGAACAGGGCCGCGCGAGCCTGCTCCTCCGCGCGGGCGATGCTTGCCGGCAACGGGAGGAGCTGAGCCACAAAGAAGTGGACGGAGGGTACATTACCCTGGAACGCCAAGATGGACTTAAACATGCCGATGCCCATTCTGCCCCACAACGAGGCCCGGTCCTCGAATTTCGTGAGGGGGAGGGGGACTGTGCAGGAAGAGCCCCCCCCATGCCCAGGCGCTTCGCCTTCCCAGATACAGGAAGGGAACCCCACTGCGGCGCCTCCTGCGCCAGCTGTGCATGGACGGCACCGCAATTCCAGCAAAAGGAAAACACCAAATCCATGTTGCGGGCGTTCAGCTTGAGCCCCGAGATCCGCGCAAACTCCAGGACTTCCTTTCCACTTCAAGAGGCGCCCCCCTCGCTGAGAGACCCCGCGAGATGCCCAGCAATATCCCCGTTTTTAGAGGACAATAGAAAACTACAACAAAAAAACGTCTGCGAAACTCTTACACAACTGCTCACTTTTGGCCATGAGTATCGAGTGATCCGCCCACCATCCCTGTAACGATTGCAAACGTTTGAACGGATGCACGCGACGCTAAGGCGAGTGCGCCATTGTGAAAACAGCCTGCCCTCCATCCTTGACACTGTGACAAACTTTTAATGCGAATGCGCGCGGCGCCAAAGGGAGAGCCCCATGTTGAAAAGGAATCGCCCTACATCCTTGAAGCTGTTGCTGCAAACTGTTAAGACGAATGTGCGCGGCGCTGAGGCGAGAGCTCCAGTTTGACAATGGCCCGACCTCCAGCCTTGAAACTGCGGCACACTGTTAAGACGACTGTGCGCGGCACTAGAGCGAGAGCTCCAGCTTGAAAACTTGCCGCCCTCCACCCTTCAGACTGTCGCAAATGTCGAGCTTCAGGATCAAAAATGGCAAGCAAGTCTCAAGCAAAACGCTCGGCCCGCCCTACCGACACGTTTGGGCGCGCGACAGAGAGGTGTTACTAATAAGGAAAAGGGATGGAGGAGGAGGAGGAGGAGAAGGAGGAGAAGGAGGAGGAGAAGGAGGAGGAGAGGGAGGAGGAGGAGGAGGAGGAGGAGGAGGAGGAGGAGGAGGAGGAGGAGAGGAAGAGGAGGAGGAGGATGGAGGAGGAGGAGGGAGGAGGAGGAGGAGGAGGTGCAGGCCTTCACGGCCCAACCCATGCTCCCCCTCTCTGCCCCCCCCCCCCTCCGCGCCCCTCCCTGGCGGGGTGGCTGTCGCTGTCGGAGCGGCTGCGGCTCCGCTTCGAGTTCCGGGCCTCCGCTCCCGCCCTCGCCAGGCTCTCGCGCGCGGCGCATACTGAGCATTTTCTTAAGGTGTAGTAAAACGACGCGAAGATCGGGACAAAATCGGATCGGGATAACTCGAAATCTCTGAGAATCGGCGGGTTTGGAGGATGTATTGGGCGCCGCGGCCGCTCCAGAGCGTTCCGGAACCCTCTGAGGGCACTCCGGAACGCTCTGGAGCGATTTATCCCGATCCTAGCCCTGTTTTATGTAGGGCTCGGGGTGAAATCCATATGGGCTTTTGCACCTCGAAAATCAATCCGTCTTGTGACTCACCTATTGCAGATGAAGGTCGCTGGGGGGGCAGCGTTGCTTCCGGGGCCAGATCCCCGTACGCTCGGCGGGCGCGCTTGATCAGTCAACAGCAATCCTTACAGCCGCCCTTCGCGAGAAGCTCTGATTGCAGGTTTACTCTTGCCGACGATTGGGCTGCTCATGCTTGCTCTTGCCCTGCAAAAGATTGCCCTCTCCCCCGTCGCCCCAGAAACACAAATCGCGTTCGCTGCCCCTCAGCGAACTTCAAGATTCAAGCCTCGAAAATTCATCGAAACGGCATTCCAGATTTCACCCTTTGCCCTCCACCCAAAGAAAATGCTCGGGCATACCCTACAGATGGCCGGCTCTGGAACCTCCAGATCCCAAAATGATGACGACTCGCTTCTACTTCCACACAAGCAACTGCCCCGTCTCGTCCACAGGTCTGGAGGCCTAGTGTTGGGCTCGTGACACTGCCCACCGAGGCCCACAGACAAGCGCGAGACATCGGCGCAATCGAACTTCATCGATCGGAGCCCTCGACTGCACAGGGCGGGATCGACCCCCAGGACACTGAGCCCCGGGAAGAGCGCCCCGACCCCGACCTCGCGCACCCCACCCACCGAGGGCTAGGAAGGCACCAACTATACACCAACACCGATCCTGGCCAGGATCACCCTGGGCCCAGGATCGGTGTATGCGCCCTCCTGCCTTGCGCAAGAAGGCATGTACACCGATCCTGGGCCCAGGGTGATCCTGGGCCAGGATCGGTGTTGGTGTATAGTTGGTGCCCTCCGAAGGGCGTGGCGCTGCGAGGGAGGCCCCCCGAGCCCCTCTGGGCCCAGGAGGGCACTTCTGCTTCACGCCGCCCTCTGCCGGTGGGGCCGCCGCCCCTCCCTCTGTTTCGGCCGCCGCCCGCAGCCCTCCCGCCGGCTTGCGCTGGCGACGCCGCCACCGCTCTGCCTCCGCCGCCGCCGCGCCGCCTTCCGCCAGAGGCTGGAGTCGAGGCCCCTGGTATCAGGTCGGGCATGTCCTCCTACAGGCGGATTTGGGAAGGAAAGTTGTAGAATAAATGCCCAAAAGGTATCAAATTGTCCCAGTGCGACCCTACCTAGGAGTTGGAACCCCTAGGAAAGCAGCATTAGTAGTAACAGTAACGCTAAGCTAAAGCTAAGCAGCTAAGCTAAAGTTAAGCTAAAGCTAAGCTAAAGCTAAGCTCCAGCTAAGCTAAAGCTAAGCTAAAGCTAAGCTAAAGCTAAGCTAAAGCTAAGCTAAAGCTAAGCTACAGCTAAGCTAAAGCTAAGCTCAAGCTAAGCTCAAGCTAAGCTAAAGCTAAGCTAAAGCTAAGCTCAAGCTAAGCTAAAGCTAAGCTAAAGCTAAGCTCAAGCTAAGCTAAAGCTAAGCTAAAGCTAAGCTCAAGCTAAGCTAAAGCTAAGCTAAAGCTAAGCTAAAGCTAAGCTAAAGCTAAGCTACAGCTAAGCTCAAGCTAAGGTAAAGCTAAGCTAAAGCTAAGCTAAAGCTAAGCGAAACGCTAAGCGACAAGCTAAGCGAAACGCTAAGCTAAAGCTAAGCTACAGCTAAGCTAAAGCTGAGCTAAAGCTAAAGCTAAGCTAAAGCTAAAGCTAAAGCTCCCAGGGGACTGGGGGGAACCGCTCCCAGGGGACTGGGGGAACCGCCCGGGGCGTGTTGCACTGCCCGGCCCCTTTAAGCTAAGAGAGTAAGAACCCTTCTAGGCAGAGCCTAGGTAGGATAAAAAGTAGTCGGGGAAATCGGCCCCTGACTATTTTTGGGATATGCTTGAACGTTCCCCCTGTAGAGGGACAGGCCCGACCGAACCCTTGTGGAGCGCCCCAGATGGACCCCGAGAGGCGAGCTGAAGCACAGCGCGAGGCGACGGCACGCGCCGACGGCGAGGGCGATGACCAAGGGAAGCAGGACGACCAGGGGGTGGCGCCGACGTCGTCACCAGGGTGCAGACAGAGGGCGACGGCCGCCTCTACGACCAGCAGCGTTGAGAGGAACAGCACGGTGGGGGCATTGGATAGAGGCAACCTTCGATGAGGAATCCAGCGTCTGGAGGCCAGTGGAGCTCCGATCGTGGATCGGCCGTGGATATCACCGCGGCCCCCATCAGATGAGGAACCCTTCAGTGTCCGAAGCCACCTGGGCACATTTCTTAACGAACGCCCCCACCGTATGACTGTTTCGATGGAAAGAAGGGCAACGGATGGCACAAGGACTCGGGCGAAAGTAGAGGACTGAGACAGCAGTGCCAAGACTCAAGTGCAGGTTTGGTCTCCTCTCCAGGAGCGCGCGGATCCCCACGCCAATCTGACACCGAAGCGACCGCGCGAGCACCCAGCGGGGTGCTTGCTGCACTCGCAGGGGGGGCCCAGTGAGGGCAGCAGCAGCAGAGGCAGCTGCCAGAAACGACAGTGGGCGGGACGAACGCGCTCGGCAACGTCCGCCAGAGGTCACCAGACGAGAGCTGGTGCAGCAGGGCGAGCGCGGCAATCAAGGTACTCATCTGCCTTCCCATTCCTGCCGCGTGCCTTTCACTGGAGCGCTCTCTGCAAACATACACTACCTTACGACATGTCGTGAACGTCTCCGTCACCCCTCCTTCTTATCTTTCTCTTTATCTCTGTCTCTGTCCTTATCCTTGTCCTTGTCCTTTTCCCGCTCCCGTTCTTTCTCCTTTTCCTTCGCCTTCTTGGAATCCTTCTTGTCCTTTGCCTCGTCAGCGTCCTTCTTCTTCGTGTCCTGGAGGTGCGGGTAACTTTCAGGGCCACTCACTCCCGTTCAATGGTCAGTCTAACTATCGCTGCATTCACAGTGGGAGAGCAGGCAAATAGCATGATACTACCATTCACCCGATCATGTGAGCAATTGGGGCTCACGAAAGGCCTAGTGCAAAAATTAATTACATCTGCGTGGCAGCGACCCATTCTGGCTTCAATACTCACTCGCCCAGCTCTTGAAAATCCAGCAGTGCTCGCCAATACAGCAGAGCCTACTGAGAGACTCAGGCCGAATGTAAAAGAAGAAGACACTGCACAAAATCTCTGGAGCTCTGCGCGGAATTCTCTTGCATCGGCGCTGGGACCCCCTCCCTGGCGCGCGGTGCGCGTCAGATGCGGCGCCGGAGGCGCCGCCGGCTTGGATCCAGCGCTGGCCCGAAAACTCCGCGCGACCATGCGAGGACCAAAATAGGCCCCGCCTATTAGGGCTCCTCCCCGTGTTCCGCCCAGCAGGCTCTGCCCAACGGGCTCCTACATGGCTCTGTGGGAGAAGCTGGTGGGCGCGGGGCCCCAACTGAAAAACAACACCCGGCCTTGCTCGGGCTGCCCCGCTGCCTGGCTGCCTGGAGCTCTTCGCTGCCCGGTTGCCCGGGTTGCCCGGGCTGCCCAGGCTGCTGGGATCCTCCGGCAAGGCCAAGCAGCGCAAGCAATGGCACTGCGTTGCGTGAGCCATGCGGGCGGGCGCGAGCCAACAACACCGGCCAACGCTGGGACCAGCTTGCGCACGAGGTCGTCGCGGGCCCAGTCGGTCGTAAACTCTTCGCGGGCCCGAGCGGTCCAGTGGATCTCGGGACCCGTGTGAGCAGCCGGTGCACAGCCAATCCACACTCCCTCGCTCCTCCTTCCTGCTCCTGCCTCCTCCCCCCTCCATCCAGCCCTCCCCCATCCTCCTCCCTTTCTTTCCTCTCTCTCTCCCCCTCCCCCTCCTGCCACGCATTGCCACGCCTTCCCCCCTCATGACAGACTCGGGTGTGTATAATTGCCGAGCCCATGCTAACAAGTCACATGCTAGGGTCTGGCTGCAAGGTGATCGAACCCGATACAACAAAACATTAAAATCAACCTGGCGAAGAACCCAACCATATGCAGTTGTCAGTATCGCAGCTGTGGGTTTCATCTTCAGTGGAACTCCCCATAGGACCACGGAACGTGTGAGGGGTGTGCCGAGATGGGTGCCACTGGGGCTTTCGGTGAAGCTCCCTATGGGGACATGAAACACGTGTGGGGCGTGCCGACATGGGTGGCGGAAACGCATGTGAGGGCCGCCGCTGGGGCCTCCAGTGGAACTCCGTATGGGGCCCCGAAACATGCGGGGGGGGGCCCGGATGGGTGGCGGAGACGCATGTAAGTGCCGCTACTGGGGCCTTCGGTGGAGCTCCCTATGGGGCCACGAAGCGTGTGAGGGGTGTGCCGAAATGGGTGTGCGGGACGCATGCGGGCGGCAGCACTGGGGCCTTCGGTGGAGCTCCCTATGGGGCCACGAAACGTGTGAGGGGTGTGCCGACTTGGGTGCGGGTGACGCATGCGGGCGGTGCCAGTGGGGCCTTCGGTGGAGCTCCCTATGGGGCCACGAAGCGTGTGAGGGGTGTGCCGAAATGGGTGGCGGGGACGCATGTGAGCGCGGCCACTGGGGCCTTCGGTGGCGTTCCCTGAGGCCACGAAACGTGTGAGGGGTGTGCCGACTTGGGTGGGTGTGGGTGACGCATGTGGGCGCCGCCACTGGGGCCTCCGGTGGAGCTCCCTATGGGGCCACGAAGCGTGTGAGGGGTGTGCCGAAGTGGGTGTGCTGGACGCATGCGCATGTGAGCGCCGCTTCTGGGGCCTTCGGTGGAGCTCCCCATGGGTCCACGAAGCGTGCGAGGGGTGTGCCGAAATGGGTGTGCGGGACGCATGCGGGCGGCAGCACTGGGGCCTTCGGTGGAGCTCCCTATGGGGCCACGAATCGTGGAGGGTGTGCCGAAATGGGTGTGCGGGACGCATGCGGCGGCAGCACTGGGGGCTCGTGGAGATCCCTATCGGGCCACGAACTGTGAGGGTTTGCCTAGTGGGTGAGCGGGACGCAGGCGCGGCAGCGCTGGGGCTTTCGGTGGAGCTCCCTATGGGGCCACGAAACGTGTGAGGGGTGTGCCGAAGTGGGTGTGCGGGACGCATGCGGGCGGCAACACTGGGGCCTTCGGTGGAGCTCCCTATGGTGCCACGAAACGTGTGAGGGGTGAGCCGAAGTGGGTGAGCGGGACGCATGCGGCGGCAGCACTGGGGCCTTCGGTGGAGCTCCCTATGGGGCCACGAAACGTGTGAGGGGCGTGCCGAAATGGTGTGCGGGACGCATGCGGGCGGCAGCATTGGGGCCTTCGTTGAGCTCCCTCTGGGGCCACTGTGAGGGGTGTGCCGATTGGGTGTGCGGGACGCATGCGGGCGGCAGCTGGGGCCTTCGGTGGAGCTCCCTATGGGGCCACGAAACGTGTGAGGGGTGTGCCGAAATGGGTGTGCGGGACGCATGCGGACGGGGCACTGGGGCCTTCGGTGGAGCTCCCTATGGGGCCACGAAACGTGTGAGGGGTGTGCCGAAATGGGTGTGCGGGACGCATGCGGCCGCAGCACTGGGGCCTTCGGTGGAGCTCCCTATGGGGCCACGAAACGTGTGAGGGGTGTGCCGAAATGGGTGGCGGGACGCATGCGGGCGGGCCAGCGGGCCATTCGCCATGGGGCCACGAAACTTGTGAGCGGGTGTGCCGAATTGGGTGTGCGGGACGCATGCTAGGGCCTTCGGTGGAGCTCCCTATGGGGCCACGAAACGTGTGAGGGGTGTGCCGAAATGGGTGTGCGGGACGCATGCGGGCGGCAGCATTGGGGCCTTTGGTGGAGCTCCCTAAGAAGCCACGAAACGTGTGAGGGGTGTGCCGAAATGGGGTGGTGGGAGGAGGGAGGAGGAGGAAGGAGACGCGGGGCACCGTCTCTTCAAAACGAGGACCCAACACCACAGGATGGTTGGGAAAAAACGTGGCCATGTATTCTTGAACAGAGAACTGTCAAAGAATGGCCCACATTACCACTCGTGTTTTCGCGAAGGCGCCCGTCCTTAACGAAAACGGGGCCCCCTTTCGTGCCCGCAAGGACCACCGCCGGTGGCGCCCAAACAGGCCTGGTGTATCTTATCTGGCTGCATGTTGTGCAGCGAGGGTCTGGTACGCCAGCCTGCACTAACAAAGGTCACGCTCGGGTCTGTGATGGTCGAGCCGAGGCCGACAATAGGGTCGAGCATGTCCCCCTGCAGGGGGATCTTGAACGAATTATCCCGGCAAAGCAACCTAACATCGATGTGTAGGAGCATATCTGGAAGCATTCCCCTTAAGATTCGGATGAGAATCCAGTTGTAGAATTCTGCTGTTCTCGCAGTCGTAGTCGCATTCGCGATGACAGTCGCAGTGGCAACGGCAGTCAGTCAGTCACAGCTCAGCCTCAGCCTGCCTCAGCCTCTGCCTCAGCCTCAGCCTCAGCCTGCCTCAGCCTCAGCCTCAGCCTGCTTCAGCCCAGCCTCAGTCTGCCTTCAGCCTCGGCCTCAGCCTCAGCCGCCTCAGCTCACCTGCATCAGCCTCAGCCTCAGCCACAGCCTGCCTCAGCATCAGCCTGCCTCAGCCTCAGCCTCACTGCCTCTGCTCAGCCTCAGCCTGGCCTTTTCAGCCTCAGCCTCAGTCGCCATCGGGCCTCTGGCTCAGCCTCAGCCATGCTCAGCCTCAGCCTCAGCCTGCCTAGCCTCAGCCTCAGCCTGCCTCAGCCTCAGTCTGCCTCAGCCTCAGCCTCAGCCTGCCTCAGCCTCAGCCTGCCTCAGCCTCAGCCTCAGCCTGCTTCAGCCTCAGCCTCAGTCTGCCTTCAGCCTCGGCCTCAGCCTCAGCCTGCCTCAGGCTCAGCCTGCATCAGCCTCAGCCTCAGCCTCAGCCTGCCTCAGCCTCAGCCTGCCTCAGCCTCAGCCTCAGCCTGCTTCAGCCTCAGCCTCAGTCTGCCTTCAGCCTCGGCGTCAGCCTCAGGCTGCCTCAGCCTCAGCCTGCATCAGCCACAGCCTCAGCCTCAGCCTGCCTCAGCATCAGCCTGCTTCAGCCTCAGCCTCAGCCTGCCTCAGCCTCAGCCTCAGTCTGCTTCAGCCTCAGCCTCAGTCTGCCTTCAGCCTCGGCCTCAGCCTCAGCCTGCCTCAGCCTCAGCCTCAGCCTCAGCCTCAGCCTGCCTCAGCCTCAGCCTCAGCCTGCTTCAGCCTCAGCCTCAGTCTGCCTTCAACCTCGGCCTCCGCCTCAGCCTGCCTCAGCCTCAGCCTGCATCAGCCTCAGCCTCAGCCTCAGCCTGCCTCAGCATCAGCCTGCCTCAGCCTCAGCCTCTGCCTCAGCCTCAGCCTCAGCCTGCCTCAGCCTCAGCCTCAGCCTGCTTCAGCCTCAGCCTCAGTCTGCCTTCAGCCTCGGCCTCAGCCACAGCCTGCCTCAGCCTGAGCCTGCCTCAGCCTCAGCCTCAGCCTCAGCCTGCCTCAGCCTCAGCCTGCCTCAGCCTCAGCCTCAGCCTGCCTCAGCCTCAGCCTCAGCCTGCTTCAGCCTCCGCCTCAGACTGCCTTCAGCCTCGGCCTCAGCCTCAGCCTGCCTCAGCCTCAGCCTGCATCAGCCTCAGCCTCAGCCTCAGCCTGCCTCAGCCTCAGCCTGCCTCAGCATCAGCCTGCCTCAGCCTCAGCCTCAGCCTGCCTCAGCCTCAGCCTCAGCCTCAGCCTCAGCCTGCTTCAGCCAAAGCCTCAGACTGCCTTCAGCCTTGGCCTCAGCCTCAGCCTGCCTCAGCCTCAGCCTGCATCAGCCTCAGCCTCAGCCTCAGCCTGCCTCAGCATCAGCCTGCCTCAGCCTCAGCCTCAGCCTGCCTCAGCCTCAGCCTCAGCCTGCTTCAGCCTCACCCTCAGTCTGCCTTCAGCCTCGGCCTCAGCCTCAGCCTGCCTCA